TGCTATATAAGTGCCTATGATAATAATACAAAATAAAAAACCCAGATTCACAATTACAAAAACATCATAACTAAATGATACAAAAACCTTTCCAAGTTTCATATTTTCATGTGAAATTAAAAATGTACCAGTAAGATTGTAAAAAACAGAGGCTTGTGATATTGGTCAACAACCTGCCTCTAACATGTATAATGAATGCCTGTCAGCACCCTGATGAGTGATCACATGCTCTATTCTCCTGTCAGCTGCCAGTGTTCCCTCAGGGCGGGGTAATAAAGAAGGATAATATAAAACAGATTTAAAGCGTTAATTAACTAAGAACAGTAAAATCAGTCTGTAGATGCAGTAAAGCATGCTTGTGATACTCATTGGTGAACCTAAGAGGTTAATCCTCCACATTGTGTAAAAAAACTGTTTGATTCTGTCTTCTCTGATCCTCCCCTTCTTATATTGTCCCAAATCCATCTGCTGATAGTACAGAGCTCTAGGAGTCACTCTGCACATGCTCAGTTTAGTGTGTATTGCTATAGAGGTTTTTTTTTTCTTGGGAGGGTGCATGTGATCAGCACAGGGCCAATCAGCACTGTCCAGACAGAGGGTCAGGGGACCTGCAGCCTCATAGGACAGTCAGAGTAGAATGAAAACTCCTCCTACAAGCGTTAACCAGTGCTGGACACTGATAGAAGTCACAAGACTGCTATGTACTGCTGATGAGAAAAGGTATTTAGCAGTTTATATGTTTATGTTTACTGCAACTCCCTCCTCACTGGCCTGCCTCGCCGCTGGCTATCCCCGCTTCAGTCGATCCTGAATATGGCTGCCAGACTCATTCACCTTTCCAACCGCTCCATCTCCGCCATCCCCCCCTGCCAATCCCTCCACTGGCTTCCGATTGCGCAACGGATCAAATTCAAAATCCTAACATTGACGTACAAAGCCGTCCACCATACTGCCCCGAACTACATCACTGACCTAATATCCAAGTACCACCCAACACGCACACTCCGCTCCTCACAAGACCTCCTCCTCTCTAGTTCCCTGGTCTCCTCCTCCCATGCCCGCCTCCAGGACTTCTCCAGGGTGTCACCCATCCTCTGGAACTCCCTGCCCCAACCCATCAGATTATCACCTACTCTCCTCTCCTTTAGGCGCACCCTGAAAACCCACCTCTTCAGGGAAGCCTACCCCACCCCCTGCTAACTTGCCGACCTCCTCCACTCTTCCTACCACTCCATCCGCCACAGGTATCTCCTCCTGTGCCACCATCCCCTCCCTCCTAGATTGTAAGCTCCAAAGAGCAGGGCCCTCGATCCCCTCATGTTTTGCATTGTATTGGTATTGTTCTGTCACATGTTCTGTCCCCCTATTGGCGCTTTATAAATACTGTATAATAATAATTAGAGATGAGCGAATCGAACCAGGCGAACCGGAATTCGATACGAATTTCAGGAAAAATTCGATTCGCGTCGAATCCGAATATTTGCCTACTTCGGGTGCGCGAATCGGATTTTTCCCGATCAGCCGGCAAAAGTGTCCCTGTAGAGAGCTCCGCTATTTCTGACAGTTCTCTGACAGAAGGAACACATGTACAGCGGTTGAAACATTGTATCTATTAGTTTCCATTTAGGATACAGATGTTTCAACCGCTGTACATGTGAAGAAGCTGTCAGAGAACTGTCAGAAATAGAGGAACTCTGCACATACACTTTTTGCCGGTTTGGAATTCTTATTTTCATCCTACTTCTTCTTCTTCTTCTACTTCTTCATCCTCATCCTCATCCTCAGAAGAAGAAGAAGAGGATGAGGATGAAGAAGAAGAAGAAGAAGAAGTAGGATGAAAATAAGAATAATTCCAAGCGGCAAAAAGTGTATGTGCAGAGTTCCTCTATTCTGCAGATACACTTAGAGGAGCTCTGCAGATACACTTAGAGGAGCTCTGCACATACACTTTTTGCCGGCTTGGAATTAATCTTATTTTCATCCTACTTCTTCTTCTTCTTCTTCTTCATCCTCATCCTCAGAAGAAGAAGAAGAGGATGAGGATGAAGAAGAAGAAGTAGGATGAAAATAAGAATAATTCCAAGCCGGCAAAAAGTGTATCTGCAGAGCTCCTCTAAGTGTATCTGCAGAATGTCATTTATGGAAACAAATAGATACAATGTTTCAACCGCTGTATGGAGGGAATGTCCCAGAACTGTCACAAATAGACTATTTCTGACAGTTCTGGGACATTCACTCCATACATGTCCCAGAACTGTCAGAAATAGACTATTTCTGACAGTTCTGGGACATTCCCTCAATACAGCGGTTGAAACCGCTGTATGGAGTGAATGTCACAGAACTGTCAGAAATAGACAGAAACTGTCACAGAACTGTCCTTCTTCTCATCCTTCTCCTTCTTCTCATCCTTCTTCTCATCCTTCTCCTTCTTCTCATCCTTCTCCTTCTTCTCATCCTTCTCCTTCTTCTCATCCTTCTCCTTCTCCTTCTTCTCATCCTTCTTCTCATCCTTCTCCTTCTTCTCATCCTTCTCCTTCTTCTCATCCTTCTCCTTCTCCTTCTTCTCATCCTTCTCCTTCTCCTTCTTCTCATCCTTCTCCTTCTTCTCATCCTTCTCCTTCTTCTCATCCTTCTCCTTCTCCTTCTTCTCATCCTTCTCCTTCTTCTCATCCTTCTCCTTCTTCTCATCCTTCTCCTTCTCCTTCCTCATCTCCAAGGGCATTTAAATTAAAGGTACAGTGTTCTGCACTAATTTAAAGGCTCTCTGAAGCCTAGAAACCCTTTTTATAAGTTAACTTTGTAGCGAATTAATTCGCATCGAATCGAATTTCTTCCTGGAATTCGCCGAATCAGCCGAATCGAATTTTTGAAAAATTCGCTCATCTCTAATAATAATAATAATAATATGTAGAGATGAGCGAATCGAACCAGGCGAACCGGAATTCGATACGAATTTCAGGAAAAATTCGATTCGCGTCGAATCCGAATATTTGCCTACTTCGGGTGCGCGAATCGGATTTTTCCCGATCAGCCGGCAAAAGTGTCCCTGCAGAGAGCTCCGCTATTTCTGACAGTTCTCTGACAGAAGGAACACATGTACAGCGGTTGAAACATTGTATCTATTAGTTTCCATTTAGGATACAGATGTTTCAACCGCTGTACATGTGAAGAAGCTGTCAGAGAACTGTCAGAAATAGAGGAGCTCTGCACATACACTTTTTGCCGGCTTGGAATTAATCTTATTTTCATCCTACTTCTTCTTCTTCTTCTTCTTCTTCATCCTCATCCTCATCCTCAGAAGAAGAAGAGGATGAGGATGAAGAAGAAGAAGAAGAAGTAGGAAAATAAGAATAATTCCAAGCCGGCAAAAAGTGTATCTGCAGAGCTCCTCTAAGTGTATCTGCAGAATGTCATTTATGGAAACAAATAGATACAATGTTTCAACCGCTGTATGGAGGGAATGTCCCAGAACTGTCAGAAATAGTCTATTTATGACAGTTCTGGGACATTCCCTCCATACAGCGGTTGAAACCGCTGTATGGAGGGAATGTCCCACAACTGTCAGAAATAGACTATTTCTGACAGTTCTGGGACATTCACTCCATACATGTCCCAGAACTGTCAGAAATAGACTATTTCTGACAGTTCTGGGACATTCCCTCAATACAGCGGTTGAAACCGCTGTATGGAGTGAAATGTCACAGAACTGTCAGAAATAGACAGAAACTGTCACAGAACTGTCCTTCTTCTCATCCTTCTCCTTCTTCTCATCCTTCTTCTCATCCTTCTCCTTCTTCTCATCCTTCTCCTTCTTCTCATCCTTCTCCTTCTTCTCATCCTTCTCCTTCTTCTCATCCCTCTTCTCATCCTTCTCCTTCTTCTCATCCTTCTTCTCATCCTTCTCCTTCTCCTTCTTCTCATCCTTCTTCTCATCCTTCTTCTCATCCTTCTCCTTCTTCTCATCCTTCTCCTTCTTCTCATCCTTCTCCTTCTCCTTCTTCTCATCCTTCTCCTTCTTCTCATCCTTCTCCTTCTCCTTCTCCTTCTTCTCATCCTTCTCCTTCTTCTCATCCTTCTCCTTCTTCTCATCCTTCTCCTTCTCCTTCTCCTTCTTCTCATCCTTCTCCTTCTCCTTCTCCTTCCTCATCTCCAAGGGCATTTAAATTAAAGGTACAGTGTTCTGCACTAATTTAAAGGCTCTCTGAAGCCTAGAAACCCTTTTTTATAAGTTAACTTCGTAGCGAATTAATTCGCATCGAATCGAATTTCTTCCTGGAATTCGCCGAATCAGCCGAATCGAATTTTTGAAAAATTCGCTCATCTCTAATAATATGCTTTATATTTGCTTCAATAATTGCATTTACATGTAGTGTGTACTGTGGGAGACCAGATATAGTGAATGCAGGGTCCGGGGAGACCAGATATAGTGAATGCAGGGTCTGGGGGAGACCAGATATAGTGAATGCCGGGTCTGGGGAGACCAGATATAGTGAATGCAGGGACCTGGGAGACCAGATATAGTGAATGCAGGGACCTGGGAGACCAGATATAGTGAATGCCGTGTCCATGGAGACCAGATATAGTGAATGCAGGGTCCAGGGAGAACAGATATAGTGAATACAGGGTCCCGGGGAGACCAGATATAGTGAATGCAGGGACCTGGGAGACCAGATATAGTGAATGCAGGGTCCGGGGAGACCAGATATAGGGAATGCAGGGTCCCGGGAGACCAGATATAGTGAATGCAGGGTCCGGGGAGACCAGATATAGTGAATGCAGGGTCCCGGGAGACCAGATATAGTGAATGCAGGGTCCGGGGAGACCAGATATAGTGAATGCAGGGTCCGGGGAGAGAGCAGATATAGTGAATGCAGGGTCCTGGGAGACCGGATATAGTGAATGCAGGGTCCTGGGAGACCGGATATAGTGAATGCAGGGTCCTGGGAGACCGGATATAGTGAATGCAGGGTCCTGGGAGACCAGATATAGTGAATGCAGGGTCTGGGGAGACCAGATATAGTGAATGCAGGGTCCTGGGAGAGCGGATATAGTGAATGCAGGGTCCTGGGAGACCGGATATAGTGAATGCAGGGTCCTGTGAGACCAGATACAGTGAATGCAGGGTCCGGGAGACCAGAATAGTGAATGCAGGGTCCGGGGAGACCAGATATAGTGAATGCAGGGTCCTGGGAGACCAGATACAGTGAATGCAGGGTCCGGGGAGACCAGATACAGTGAATGCAGGGTCCGGGGAGACCAGATATAGTGAATGCAGGGTCCTGGGAGACCAGATATAGTGAATGCAGGGTCCTGGGAGACTGGATATAGTGAATGCAGGGTCCTGGGAGACCGAATATAGTGAATGCAGGGTCCGGGAAGACCAGATATAGTGAATGCAGGGTCCGGGGTTTAGTAACACTTTAAGTAATGATACTGACTGTATTTTTTTTAGAATCCATAACTAGTATTTTTTTAATTTGTGATGGGCGTAAAGATAGCCTTCTTTGAGAAGGCTTTGCTGCGTTTAGTATTAGGTTACACAGAGTTCTCCTACTATTTGCATGGAGTTCATGGTGGAATGACATTTCTTACCAATCATGTTAGGCCTGGTTCACACCCATGCATTTTTCAGTGCTTTTTGCATTTTGCAGAGACTAGCTGCAATCCATTTAACATGGTTTCCTATGGGACACGTTCACATCTCTGCATTTTCAGCTGCTGTGTTTTTGGATAGGGTCAGGAACTTTTTCTCTTGCAGCAAAGTGCAACGCATAGGTGTGAAGGAGGCCTTACAGAAGGCTGCCAGGTTGACCTCCCATATCTTCAGCCAAACATTGGGATATATATAGAATGCCTTTACAATGAAAAATACCTTTGACATTAGGTAGTGGTTTCAGTGGTGCAAAAAAGGTAATGTCCCCCAGTTGATCCACTTTTTCGAGATTCCTAGGCTTCAATCTAGGCTGGCCTCCAAAGGGGAGGCCTTTCGCAGTGGTAAAAATGTGAAAGTGTAAGAGCACCAAGTACATGAACTTAGATCTCAAAGTATTACATTTGTTCATCTTTTTTGTATGTCCAAACTCTCTAAGAAAAGTCTTGGAGACCTTGAGCAAACAGAAGGACAAAAAATGCATTTTTTGTGTGCTTGAAGGTCCTACGCCCCAACCGCTTCAGTGTTGTCCACTTGAACCCGAATATTATGGAGAGAAGTGCTAAGGAGTGTGAAGACAACGTATCAATGTTCATAGTTTTTTTCGTTTTTAAAATAAAATATATTTTCAGTTCACAAAAAGCTGTTATTGCAGGAATCAGTTTTGTTTACAAATGCTCTTTCTTGTTATATTATTGATTTTTTTTTTTTTTTTTAATTAGATCACAAAACCTATCGCTCAGGGTTTTGATCTTTAAAATATCTCTAACTCCTGAGATAATTGTGAGGTGTGGGGAAAAAAATGAATTGGAGCCTTTCCAGGTGGAAACAAAAGAATAATTAATTGGAAAAAAAACTTGTACAGTCAAAGGGTCAACCCATTTTATTCTCTTCCCATCCGGCCCATGCTGATAAATGGCCGGATGGGAGCGCTGCCGATGCTGGTGGACGTTTCTAAATATCCCCCTGCATCCATTGCCTCTGTGTGAGGTTCTGATTCATGTGATCACTGATTGGCCAATCAGTGATCACATGAACAGTAGTAAACAAGATGTCACTTCCTGACATCATTGCTTACTAATTGTGAAATCTGTGAATGATCACAGAGGTCACATGGTACAAGGCTATTCACAACAGCCTTGTACCATGTGACAAGCTGTGACCAATCACAGCTCTCATAGTATTTCTCAATGGCTGCAGGAATGCAGCCAGAGAGAAGAATACATTATTGCTTTTACAGCCTTTATGGGTGTAAAAGCAATCAGTGTAAAAAAAGAAAAAAAAAAAATCTTTATCACCCCCCACATGTAGTACAGTGTCACTATGGTGACAGTATGTTAAAAAAAACACACATAAATAATAATATAAAAAATAAATAAAACTGTAAAAAAATTTTAAAATTATAATTTTCTTAATAAACTAATTTGGGTTATTTTTTTTTTTCTAAAAAGATAGATGAATACATTTTGGCCAATATTTATAAAGAAAATATTATTTATTTATTTTTAAAATTTTATAAGAAAAACACTTTTTTTGGACTTTTTCATTTTTTATAGCAAAAAAATAAAAATAAAAATTCCAGTGGTGAATAAATACCACCAAAATAAAGTTTTATCTGTCTCAAAAAAATGCTAAAAATTTAATATGGGTACAGTGTCGCATGACCGCGCAATTGTCACTCAAAGTGTGATGGCACTGAAAGCTGAAAATTGGCCTGGACAGGAAGTGGGTGAAAGTGTCCGGACTTGAAGTGGTTAAACTGTTTTCAATGCTGTGATAGTTTGACTGACAAATACTTAGTCATGTAACACTGTATCCAAATTAATTTTACACCATTTTGTGAGAAAGATAAGGCTTTCTTTTGGTGGTAATTTAATAATCACAGTTTTTTTTTCCTTTTTAATTTGTTCTACATAAAAGGAAAAAGACCAAACAATTTGAAAAAATGACATGTTGATAATCCATTCATTTATTCCACATTCATAAATTGCTTTTATTGCTTCTCCTTCCTGTCTGTAAGAGGAATAGGAGGGGAGAACTTCAATGTAAACATAGCAGTGTGTATTCATTCATGATTACTGTGATGGTTCATCACAGCAATCACAAGGTACAGAGTCGCTCAGATTGGCTCTGTTCCCTGTGTCTGTGTGGCAAACTGTTAAATAATGGCTTGGTACACACTTATTAACAGGCTCAGTGGCTGCCCAATGAAAATTCAGAACTGGTGTTTCGGTTTCTAGGAAATACTGAAGAGTGAAATCACCATACGGTTTCTTATACTCAGGAACTCTTTTCGTGAGAACTGTGCTGTTCCTGTATCAGAATACGTTCTTTGGCCATTATGGGGAGTTTTCACCCTCTTGCTATTTATTTTATGGAGAATTTAACAGTTGAAACACACAACGATGTTTAGGGACACCCACATCTTTTAGGTGGAAAGAAATGAGAACATTTGGTAATTACTGTATATCAGAGAGCTCTCATTGTTGGAAGCTGACTTAGGCCACCAGGCTCCACCTATCGCTTTTGGGTGGCATGGCTATTTAATGTTCTCCTCTTGGATGGATCTATGAAAGAAAGGACACCTGGTCCTCCAGTCTTTGTCTCTCTTACACCTTGGATAAAGAACTCACCTGTTCTATAAATGTGATCAGAGCCTCGCGGTTCCCATCCCACTCCCCCGCGGCAGCTCCGCCTCTTTGGGGAACTTGTTGCAGCTCAGCTCCAATGTTATTTCAAAACAGTTTTTGTAAAGGTAATTGAAGTCCTGCATACCTATTAGAATAAATTACAAAATATATTGTTTGTAATAATGGAAACTTGTATTGTTTTGCGTTCTTTTTCATTGTTGTCACACAATTAAAAGCATCTGAAAATTACAAAAAATGTTTTTGTATTTCTTGTTTGAAAGCAGAGAAAATACATGATTTACAGTGAGGTCCATATGTATTTGGACACAGGCACAATTTTAGTTTTTTTTCTGGTATTGACTAAAACATATTGAAGCCCATTGTTATATAATGGATACGGGCTGAAAGTGCACACTCTCAGGTTTAATTTGAGGGTATGTACATCCAAATTGGAGGAAGGTTTAGGAATTACAGCTCTTAAGATGACCTAACCAGCTGTAACACAGCAGAAAAATAAATACATTTCAGCCGAAGCTAAAAATTACAATAAAAACGTATTTATGTGAACTTTCTTACTATTTTGTACTCAGCTCTTCTAATCCAGGCACCCCTGCCAGACAGCATGTAAAGTCTGTGACCTCACCTTTTTCTTCTTCAGTTAAAGCATATGTAAACCTTAAAGTAAACTAGAAATGAAAGGCAAAACGTTTGCGTATAGAAATAAAAACATAATAATAAATACTTTTTTCCCACTTTGTTATAAGTGATCACATTCCCTCTTTTCTCAGCTGCATAAGGAGCTCAGATTGCTGGGGGAGGAGAATCAGCAGCCCAATGGTCTTCCCAGTGAATGGCGGTTTAGGGGGTAGGGCATTTCAGGAGAAGTCTGGTTGTAAGAGAGCAGGCTGAGTTCCCAGCACAGCTAGAGAACTGACCATGCTGTGGTCAGTTTTTGATAGGAAAGCAGAGGGACTGGCAGGAACACCAGGAATGTCACACAAAGGAAGCAATACAAAGAGAACAGGATATCTTTTTCATACAAGTACAAGGTACAACAGGCACATATTAGGAATATGAAATGGTGGGTTTACATATTCTTTAAAGCGGAGCTCCGCCGAAAAGGGGAAGTTCCACTTAAGACCTCATCCCCTGCTCCCATTTAAGGATTGGCACCTCTGAGAAGTGGGGGTACCCTAATTTGACAGGTACCTGCTCCCACTTACGTTGCACTTGCAATGGCGTGGGCCCGCTTTCAAACCCATACCAGACCTTTATCCATGCATGCAGCCTGGCAGGCCAAGAAAGGGGGGGGGGGGGCAAGTGAGCACCCCCCTTCCCTCCTGAACCATACCAGGCAACATACTCTCAACAAAAGCAGCTTGTCCTCATATTGATGGGGACAAGGGCCTCTTCCCCACAATCATGGGTAGTGGTTGTGGGGCCTGCGAGCAGGGGGCTTATCAGAATCTGAAAGCCCCTTTTAACAAGTGGGCCTCCAAATCCCGACCCATCCCCATGTAAATGAGTACATTGTACCCTACTCATTCACCAAAAAAAGTGTCAAAAATAAATAAAAACACAGGTCCTTTGATAAAAAAAAACGAAATAATGTCCCCCCGAAATTAGTCCAGTGTCAATCATGATGCCACCGACTCAAACAAAAAAAAACCTCCACACCCGACATTGCTTCGCACTGTCTGACAGCTCCACCGTCTCCTGACGCTAAATAAACTAAGGGGCGAGACCACTCGACCGACTAGTGCATGCTGTATCGATGACATCACAAGGGGTGGGGTCACCCAACGCCATCGGGTAGACCTGCCCCTTAGTTTATTTAGGGGTGGGAAGTGGCAGAGCTGACTGAGGGCAGGAGCCAACGTTGAGTGCAGAGCTTTTCTGTTGGTTTGGGTTGATGATATTTGCAACACTTGAATAGCTTAAAGTGGAGCTTCACCCTCAAAGCACTCATCTCTCTATCCACCCCTCCTCCCTTGCTCTACACAAAAAGCCCTTTTTTTAATTACCTTTTTTTAAAGAAAGTCTTTGGCATAGGCGAATGACTTGCACCGTGCTCCCTTTGTCTCCTGGGATATACATGCCACATATCCCAGGAGACATAACCTTTCATTCACAAAGGAGTGGGCCTAGAGGTGCGTCATTGGGAGGCATGTCAACTGAAGCTGAAGAGACGGCATCTTCATGATGATGTTACACAAAAACATGGCGGTGCAGGACTGAGGGATGGCAGAAGAGAAGGGAATCCCAGCAGGACAACGATGGATCGTTTAGTTGGGCGAGTATCTGAATTATCGCTCAGCAGGGGGTTTAAAAAAAAAATGGTGGGGGGGGGGAGGGGTGGTGAAGATCCACTTTAAGTCTTCTTGCCCATAACAAGAGGTTATTAGCTAAGGTGCCATGAATGCAACCCACACAACCTCAAACTATTTTAAAGCCTAACTTCAACCAAAATTTTGAGAGGTAGGGCAGAGCGGGCAGGGTATAAGACTTATTAGTGTGTTGCTGCACCTTCACTGCCCAATCAGAAGGCTGCAGGCAAGGAGGCACATTGTATTGTTTAATTCCAGCATAGAAAATGGAGTCACCATCCCAGCTGGGCTGTCTGGCAGAGGTGTATGAATCCCAAATGTGTCTGGACAGAATTATCAATAATGTGGAAGATAAGACAGTTCACATACAGTATGTGTATTTCAACTTTAAAAAAGCAAATGTGAAATTTGATGGGTCACTGTACTGGCCACTGACTGGTCATTTATTAAAAAATTCAACTCTCACATTATTCCACAGCCCAGGTTGAAGTGACGGTAGTTGGTTCACACACCAATATAAACATTTTCCAGTCGAGGTAAAACGTTCATTCTTTCTACAATTCACAAATCTATTCAGCACTATTCTGACATATTAGTTCAATTACTAACATCTTATTATACAAACACACATTCAGTGATTCAAACGTGAACGGCCCATTAATAAAACAAAGATGTCGATTGTAATGTAACGGCATAATTAATGAAGTGGAATGTTGTGTGTTATGTTCTCAGTGGTGTCACCAGCCCAGGAATGTAAAATGTCTGTAGCCAGTTACTCCCAGAAATAATCTCATTAACTATTTTAGGCATTTTGGTTGGTTTAGCCTTCCATGACCTCAAACATTTCACCCGGCTTGGATAGGGCTTAATTATTACAGGAAGGCAAACATAACCAACATCTATACATTTGGAAACGTTTGAAAAAAAAAAAAACTGAAAGTGTTTCAAATAAACTGCTTTTTCATTAGTTCTTGACATTCTGTTTATAGTGCAGAACAGATTTTATAAGTTAGCACATTCTACTGAAGATGACAGTGGGCTGTACTCTGTATGGATTGTACTCTACGGAAGGTGAGTACATTCTACAAATCTAAAGGTGAACACATTCTACACTACTAAAGGTGAGAACGTTCTACACTACTAAAGGTGAGAACGTTCTACACTACTAAAGGTGAGAACGTTCTACACTACTAAAGGTGAGAACGTTCTACACTACTAAAGGTGAGAACGTTCTACACTACTAAAGGTGAGAACGTTCTACACTACTAAAGGTGAGCACATTCTACACTACTAAAGGTGAGAACGTTCTACACTACTAAAGGTGAGAACGTTCTACACTATAAAGGTGAGCACATTCTACACTAATAAAGGTGAAGGTGAGACATTCTACACTACTAAAGGTGAGAAACGTTCTACACTACTAAAGGTGAGAACGTTCTACACTACTAAAGGTGAGAACGTTCTACACTACTAAAGGTGAGAACGTTCTACACTATGAAAGGTGAGCACATTCTACACTACTAAAGGAGAACACATTCTACACTACTAAAGGTGAGAACGTTCTACACTACTAAAGGTGAGAACGTTCTACACTACTAAAAGGTGAGAACGTTCTACACTATGAAAGGTGAGCACATTCTACACTAATAAAGGTGAGAACGTTCTACACTACTAAAGGTGAGAACGTTCTACACTACTAAAGGTGAGCACATTCTACACTACTAAAGGTGAACACATTCTACACTACTAAAGGTGAGAACGTTCTACACTACTAAAGGTGAGAACGTTCTACACTACTAAAGGTGAGAACGTTCTACACTACTAAAGGTGAGAACGTTCTACACTACTAAAGGTGAAAGGTTCTAGAACGTTCTACACTATGAAAGGTGAGCACATTCTACTACACTACTAAAGGTGAACACATTCTACAAATCTAAAGGTGAACACATTCTACACTACTAAAGGTGAGAACTATGAAAGGTGAGCACGTTCTACACTACTAAAGGTGAGAACGTTCTACACTACACTACTAAAGGTGAGAACGTTCTACACTACTAAAGGTGAGAACGTTCTACACTACTAAAGGTGAGAACATTCTACAACTACTAAAGAGAACGTTCTACACTACTAAAGGTGAGAACGTTCTACACTACTAAAGGTGAGCACGTTTCTACACTATAAAGGTGAGAACGTTCTACACTATGAAAGGTGAGCACATTCTACACTAATAAAGGTGAGAACGTTCTACACTACTAAAGGTGAGAACGTTCTACACTACTAAAGGTGAGAAACGTTCTACAATACGAAAAGGTGAGACATTCTATACTAAAAAGTGAGAACGTTCTACACTACTAAAGGTGAGAACATTCTACACTAGTAAAGGTGAGAACGTTCTACACTACTATAAAGGTGAGAACGTTCCACGCTACTAAAGGTGAGCACATTCTACACTACTAAAGGTGAGCACGTTCTACACTACTAAAGGTGAGAACGTTCCACAGTACTAAAGGGAGAACGTTCTACACTACTAAAGGTGAGAACGTTCTACACTACTAAAGGTGAGAACGTTCTACACTACTAAAGGTGAGAACGTTCTACACTATGAAAGGTGAGCACATTCTACACTACTAAAGGTGAACACATTCTACAAACTAAAGATGAACACATTCTACACTACTAAAGGTGAGAACGTTCTACACTACTAAAGGTGAGAAACGTTCTTCTACACTACTAAAGGTGAGAACGTTCTACACTACTAAAGGTGAGAACGTTCTACACTACTAAAGGTGAGAACGTTCTACACTACTAAAGGTGAGAACTTTGTACACTACTAAAGGTGAGAACGTTCTACACTACTAAAGGTGAGAACGTTCTACACTACTAAAGGTGAGAACGTTCTACACTACTAAAGGTGAGAACATTCTAAACACGTTCTACACTACTAAAGGTGAGAACGTTCTACACTATGAAAGGTGAGCACATTCTACACTAATAAAGGTGAGAACGTTCTACGCTACTAAAGGTGAGAACGTTCTACACTACTAAAGGTGAGCACATTCTACACTACTAAAGGTGAGAACGTTCTACACTACTGAAAGGTGAGACATGTTCTACACTACTAAAGGTGAGCACGTTCTACACTACTAAAGGTGAGAACGTTCTACATTACTAAAGGTGAGAACGTTCTACACTACTAGAGGGGAGCTCATTTCCAACATTTTTCCAGTCAAGGCACCCTCTAAAATTATGAACAGTCACAAGACAGCCTTTAAAATCATGGACAATCACAAGACACCCTTTAAAATCATGGACAGTCTCTGAGATACCCCATTCTAAAATGTAAAAAAACTATTCTAATCATTTTATATAACGCAGCAACATCCACATACATAGGACACCCAACGTTAGTGTTGATATATTCTTTCAAAGCAAATACACTTTTGCACACTGGTACTGACTAGTATTCCAGTGTTTCTCTTCTCCCTCAGTTTTTCTTCATCACTCAGCCATTGTGACCCCAGCATTCACGTGTAACTAAAAGGCAGGCTTGTTCCACCCACTGGCTTGTATACAAATTTTTACCAATTTGTAGACATTTTGCCAAGGTACCCCAGAACGCATGGGCACCCTGGTTGAAAAAGGCTATTCTACACTACTAGAGGTGAGCACATTCTACACTACTAGAGGTGGGAACGTTCTATACTGCCAGACGGGAGCACATTCTACACTCCTAGAGGAGATCACTTTCTACAGTACACTACTAGAGATGAGAATGTTCTACACTACTAGAGGTGGGAATGTTCTACACTACTAGAGGTGGGAATGTTCTACACTACTAGAGGTGGGAATGTTCTACACTACTAGAGGGGAGCACCTTCTACAGTACAAGAGGTGAGCACATTCTACACTACTAGAGGTGGAAATGTTCTATATTAATAGGGGGGACCACATTCTACACTACTAAGGGTGGGAACTTTCTGTACTGCCAGAGGGGAGCACATTCTACACTCCTAGGTGGGGGAATGTTCTATATTACTAGAGGGGACCACATTCTATACTACTAGAGGTGGGAACATTCTATATTGCCAGAGGGGAGCACATTCTACACTCCTAGAGATGAGAATGTTCTACACTACTAGAGGTGGGAATGTTCTACACTACTAGAGGGGAGCACCTTCTACACTACTAGAGGTGAGTACACTACATTACTAGAGGTGGAAACATTCTATATTACTAGAGGGGAGCACCTTCTACACTACTAGAGGTGAGCACACTACATTAATAGAGGTGGAAATGTTCTATATTACTACTAGACGGGACCACATTCTACACTACTAAAGGTGGGAACATTCTATATTGCCAGAGGGAAGCACATTCTACACTCCTAGAGGGATCACTTTCTACAGTACACTACTAGAGATGAGAATGTTCTACACTACTAGAGGTGGGAATGTTCTACAATACTAGAGGTGGGAATGTTCTACACTACTAGAGGTGGGAATGTTCTACACTACTAGAGATGAGAATGTTCTACACTACTAGAGGTGGGAATGTTCTACACTACTAGAGGTGGGAATGTTCTACACTACTAGAGGTGGGAATGTTCTACACTACTAGAGGGGAGCACCTTCTACAGTACAAGAGGTGAGTACATTCTACAGTACTATTGGTGATCATATTTGAGGTGATTATATTCTGCACTAGAGGTGAGACGATTCTGGACTAGGAGAGGTGAGCACATTCTACACTACTGCATATGAGAGAGGAGCACATTCTGTACTACAACAGGCGAGCAGATTCTACACCACAAGAGAGGAGCGCATTCTGCACCACTAGAGATATGCAGATTCTACACCACAAGAAGGGAGCACATTTTATATACTACAGATGATCCAAATCTACACTACTATTGATGAGTGCAATCTTCACTACTACAGGGGAGCACATTCTACACTACAAGAAGTGAGCACATTCGAGACTAATATTGGTGAGCATATATGAGTTGATCACATTCTACAGCACTAGAAGTGAGCAGTTTCTACCAGGGGCGGACTGACAACTCATGGGGCCCCCTGGCAATAGGGGATCATGGGGCCCCTGTGTCCTCACCACACACCCAAAAAAAGCCTATGAAAAGCCAATGAAAGGTACCAGGGGCATCTCATGGGGCCCCCTACTAACCCCAGGCCCTCGGGCAGTGCCCGAGTGCTCCAATGGTCAGCCCGCCCCTGGTTTCTACTCTAGGCGAGGTGAACACATTCTACGAGAGTTAAGCACCACTAGAGGTGAACACGTTCCGCATACGAGAGGGGAGCACATTCCACACTACAGTAGGTGAGCGGGTTCTACACTGTGAGAGAGGAGCGCATTCTATACCACTAGAGATATGCAGATTCTACACCACGAGAAGGGAGCATATTTACACTACTAGAGGTGAGCACATTCTACACTATGAAAGGTGAACATACTTTATACTACTAGAGATGATCCAATTCTAAAATGAGTGTCAGTGTTGTACACTGCTTTATCATACTCACCTGATTGTTAAGTGTAATACGATTTTTAATAAACAGTTGGTTTTAACTTTGCTGTTGTATGAGGCTTCTCCTTGCTTAATCCTATATATCATCATGATGAGCAGTATGGGATATTAGAGTCGAGTCCTGGTGGGACCGCACACCTTTTTGCTGAATGCAGCAATTCTTCCTGTGGGCCTGACAGTGAGAGTGCTAGCTTGGAGTTGTGACGCACATGCTTGCTTGATCTCTATAGCCTGAGATCATTTCATTTTGGTAAGAGGCTTGCTTGTTTGTTAAGTTTGAGGACGAAAGCACTTCATATGACGTTTTGCAGCACAGAGCATTTTGTCCACGATTTACTTTAAGACTTTTTAAATGTATTTATTTACATTTTGCATATGAATTTTCAGTAATTAATTAATTAAATTATTTATATATTCAACTTTGTTCACGTTTAGATTGAAGTTATATTTTTGTAAATTAATTATGGGGATATTATTTAATTGATTATTCATATGGGCACGTATTATTGATTTATTCATGCAAATTTTATTTAAAGGAACAGCGCACTGTCTATTTAGAATGATCCAATTCTACACTAGCGGTGAGCACATTCTACAAAATGATAGGTTAGCAGATTCTACACCAGCCTTTCTCAACCAGGGTGCCCAGGCACCCCGGGGTGCCTTCAGTCTTCTTCAGGGGTGCCTTGGCAAAATGCCCAAAAATTGTATAAAAATCAGCAGGTGGATAATCTTGCCTTTTAGTACACAAAGCCACAGATTTTCATTGTGCACGTTTATGACCTTCTAGCTGCCAGCATCCTAACAACCAATGATATCATCAGTTAATAAGGAGGACGTTGGGTGCATGCACATCATCTTTGTTTGGCCCTCCTTGCCCCTCTCCATCAGCACTGGGGTCACATTAGCAGAGTGAGGGAGAGACAAGGAGTCACATTGGAATACTAGTCAGTACCAGTGTACAAAGGTGTATTTGCTTGGGAAGAATGAATCACCTCTAACATTGGGTGTACTGGATGTGTGTAGAACAGTTTTTTTACATTTTAATTTGGGGTGCCTTGAGATTATCCAGAATTTTAAAGGGTGCCTTGACTGAAAAAACATTGAGAAAACTGTTCTACACCTAGAGGTGAACCCATTCTACATTACTAGAGGAGAACACATCCTACACTATTTGAGGTAAACACATTAAACACTACTAAAGAGATGAGCATTTTCTACACCACTAGAGACACACTTTTATGATGTAGGGACAGTGAGGAGAGCTGCAGGATTTACCCGTTTTTCTTGGAGTGAAAATACCAGTGCTAAGCTGTACGCCCCAATGACTAACATACCTTAAGCAGTATACATATTTAAAAAAGCTTCTATGGTATGACCAAATTTCTCTTTTTTTTTGGTCATGCTCAGTGTGTTCCACTTACCTTTTTAATATTACAAAAAAATATTTATTAACCAATCAGGCTTAATATTTTCCTTTCCAAAACAGAAAGGAGATTCTGAGGTCCCAGCAAAACTACCAAGCCCAAAACACCTGAGGAAAAGACCACAAGATAATCAGAGATTTCCATGTTTATATAAAAACATCTTATTGGTATAACCAATGCATACCTTTCGATAGCGAATACCAAGAAGCTCCATTAGTGATGCCATATGGAAAGTAATCCCCACAATTAAACTCTCTATGCATCCATCCATGAGCAAAGGAATAAGACATTGCTAACTGCAAAGACAAAAAGATCAGATATCAGCCAGGCAATATTGATGTATAAAATCAACACTGCTGATGATTGTTTATATAGACAGAGTAGGAAAATATCAGTAACTACATAAAAAAAGTGTCAGGTGTAACAAAATTGGACATCAGCTGAAAGTTGAAGAGTTGTCACTTTAACAGTACCAACAATGCACATTGTCAGAAAGAGTCGACTATTAGCACCAGTCCCAGAAAATCAGCATTATGAATTTCATTGAATATACAAATAGCAAAAATCACTCTACTTCAGTGTAGTCAACCACCACACTATATAGGTCAGACATGCTACAAAAAAGTCCAGGAAGGACAAGTTTTACACAGCATTTTTTAAGAAAGGTACACCATTGTGTAACATTTATGTTGGAACAAGAAGATCAACCGCTATATGACAATTATTCACTGCAAAATATATGTTAAAGATGCCAACCAAAGACATACTTCCAAGAAAGTCTACCAATACATAAAATTTATCCATAAAAGATGAATTACTCTAAAAAAGTGTGTCAGAAAGTCAACTCCTGCATAACAGATGACAAAAAAGTCATAGTTCTACAAAGTATCCAAGTTGACCAACCACTATGCAACTGTGTTTTGGAAGGATATTTCTTATACTTGTGTGTTAGAAGGCCACCATTACAAGGCATGTGAATATAAACATCTCCCCTTTCATATTACCCTACCTGAATCAACAACAGGAAGCAAAAATGCCTACAACCAGTAGTATATATCAAGCCAAAACATTTGTACAAGTGGAAGCATCACAGTTAACCACCTCCAGAGAAACCCATGTCTGTAAAGTCAGCTGGAAAAGTGATGGCCTCTGACCTTTGGGATTTAAAGGCATATTGATGGTTGATTTCCTACCAAATGTCTAAACCATCATTGGACAGTACTTCTGCTAACTTGCTAACCCAGCTTTGTGAGGAAATAAAATCCAAAAGGCCTGAGATGCTGACAAAAGGTGTACTATTCCACCAGGATAATGCTTGCCCTCACACCTCCACAGTTGCAATGGAAACAATTCACCAGTGTGGCTTCAAATTAATACCCCACCCACCATATTCACCAGTTCTAGCACCTTCGGATGTCTACCTCTTTCCGAAGCTAAAAAAGCCATCTCTGTGGCACCAGATTTTCTTCAACAGGGAAGGTTATGCATGCTGTTTTTTACAGACTAGGAGGAAACCTACAAAATTGGCATTATGACATAGGAAAATCAAAGGACTAAGTGCAAAGACTTGAAAGGAGAATATGTTAGGAAATGACATAGTTTGAAAAATCTAAGCAAACTCTTTCTATGCAGGCTAAGATTTCTTCAATCCACCCTCGTATTTCTTTTGTATGGAGTAGGGGAAAGTTAGGTTTTTTTTGCCTTCTTTGTCCTTGCTGGTGAGATTCACCCTTTTTATTTCTAATGGTGACCACCATTACTGGGACAGAAAGTGACAAGTAATCTAAAATTTTACGGCTGTCACCAGAAGGTAAGGGTAACATTTCCAGTGAGGACAGTACACCTGATCTGGTGACAACTATTTAAGAGGAGATTTCCCCTAACTTATGTGATTTTGACTTATTACCTGCTGTATTTAACCTGGTCACTTAACCAAGGGTATAACTTTGGCTGACCATACATATGTAAAATATATCTGTATGGACAATGCCAGAATTCCCTGCATCTTTTCTTTTGCAAAACCTATACTGGACCAGAGACAATCCACTGGAAAATGGTTTTATCAGCTGGGAAGGGAATGTCCTGTCAATCCCTCATTGTTCCTACTGTGCACTGTTTCTGTGCAGAGGATTGTCTACCACTATGATGTACATACTATTTGTAAGCAGTGACCAAAAATCAGCTTTAGAGTCGAATAATATGATATTACTTACCGCTTTAAACACTTTATCATCTGGGGTAGCAGAATAGCTAGTGGTGCGGCGGTAACCCCTGACCCGAAGATCTTTACTTTTATCAAATGGATAATTAGCTACAACAGCTCCACCGTGAAGGTTTGCAGAAAGCACAAAGTTATGGTTTTCAATCCAGTTAATTATGGCCTGTGTTTCTGGCTCCACCTGTGAATAATCAGATAGAATTATCTGCAACATCACAAACATTAATGGAAGCTAATTAATAATGTAATGCATACAATGCGTAAATCAATTAACTCAAAATTAACAGATCTGTCTATACTTGCCTATTCTGAAGCCTCTCTGGTCTGGTCTCCAGTGGAGGCTTCTGTGTTCAGACAATGGCTTCAAATGCTTGGGAGTTGACTTCACCCATAGACTTACTATGTGGCATTCATTTTTGGTTGCCCCTCCTCCACATAGAAGTCATCTCTGACAGCTGATCCTAGGACTGGACTAGAGCAGCTTTAGAATAGGTAAGTAGAGGAATATTTTCTTTACAGGGCTAGTGTTAGGTCTTGGCTCCTACTACTTAACGAGCAGCTCTTTTCTTTCAGGGCTCAGAAGCTGCCTAGCTGTTGGTCAGTTACCAGCCATTTGTTGTCTCCACAGTGACTCACTAGTCCTGCGTCATTAGTCCAGCCTACAGCCAGCCATTTTTGCTATTTTAGCAGCCTAGCTAATTTCCTCCTTGCCCTTGCATGGCCTATGATCTCCAGTGTTTTCCTGCTTGTGTTCCTGTGTACAATTCAGTCTGTCTGACTTCTCTCCTGGTTCCTGTTACTGATTTTTGGCTCCTGACATTTGGTTTCCTGAACCTGGCTCGTCTGATTGCCCGCACTGGCATCCAAACCCTGACTTCTGTTTTGACTACATTCTTGATCTATATTATATTTGCTATTTCATTAAAGGTGTGATTTTAACTGCACTTTCTGTCTCTGTCTGGTTTATGGTTACTGACATTTAGATAGAATAGGTTTAGTATGGGGGTGGAAGTAGATTAAGTCAAATACATTTTGACTGGAATTCCATTTTAACCTCCGTAGCGGTCTGATTATGTCAGTATTTATGTGCTCAAAGTGGTACATTGTTTTCAATGGAAATATGTTGTTTTGTTATTGTAGGCCTGTAATTCTTAGGAATAACTCACTGAAATCTGTCCAAACAAGAGTCTAATAAACATCCCGGGTATGATAAAATTTGAAACACATAATCATAAATTATAATATAATAAATAATCATAAAAAATAATAATATAATAAATTTTATTCAATAATGTAATCAAACCAAAAACACTGAAATTTGAAATAGTTCGCACATCACTGAGCTCAGTCGCAGAATCGTTTTCAGTGTCTGATGACGAATTTCCCCACGAATCATTATCACTCAATTCTGCAAGTGGTTCTGATTTACTATCGTTGTTCTCTAGCCGGTCTAAAACCGCTTTTGACCTAAAGGGACGCTTTTTGGACACCATGGACGTTTCTCAGTTTCCAGGCAGAAAGAACAGTAAAAATGCAGGCAGGGCACAGGACAAAGCACTCGGGACAAAATGTATGTGAAACGGTTTGATACAGTAATGTTATCAGATTTTAGTGTATTATGTGTATGTACAATTTTGACATTTTTGAATCTCCCACCGGTTCCGTCTTCCGTACATCCCGACGCTCGCAGGGAATGAAACCCAGAACATGGATGCCGGCATCGGCCGGAGGACATGGCCAAGAATGCAGCGAGAGGACAGCGCGGGACCGCGGGACAAGGTAAGTGATCCAGAGATCCCAGAGCAAGGCTACAGGGTAATCCTGAGTGTAGCTCGAGGTTACCGCTTCTGGTACTGAAACTTAACTCCGAGCTACACTCAGGAATACTGCCAGGGGGTTAATAAGGTACATCTCAAGCCAAAACATTTTTTTCATTTTTGATAGAGAAGGTTTAAAACCCCTCTCAAGTTTTTCTTGCCATCTGTGTCCCCTTGGGGTAATTTCACCTTACTTCCTGTCCTGTTGATATGACAGGAAGTGAGAGGAAATCTCTTCAAAGTGAGGAAATGCCCTTTTAAACAGTTGCCGCCATTGGAAGATACTGTGTACCCTCTATTTCTGTTCTGGTGACAATACTAAAAAATTTTAATTTTCCTTCACTTTCATTCCAGGTGGCAATGGTACTCAGGACAAACCAAATGTGACTTACAACCTAAAATAAAGAATAGTTTCTTATGTCGCTCTGGACACCCAATGACCTTGAGCGCTGAGGTCTACATGCATCCTAATGCCAATAAGAAGAGTCACGCTTTTTAGTTATTCAATATTATAATCAAACAAGACAATAACCAGGTAAAGCCAAATATGGGGTACAAACATGCACCACCCCAAGCTTGGCAGAAACAGAACCAATAACTATGGCAGGGAGATCGCACCACCAGAGTCTTTTAGAAATATAAGAAGAAAGGGGTTGCTTATGCAACTAGGTTTCATCTATAACAGATATTGTGAAGAAGCCAGACTTAAATCCCTCACGTATTTGTCCTGTAGACAGGTTTCTGCTCTCTAGACTAGGATTTCCAGAATTATCTCTATAGTTCTCCTTCAAACCATGCCATGAGCCTCAGCAGTTCTACCATTAGACAGCAAACCTCCAGGAATGAGAATTACAGTGTGGCCCAATTATATTTTTCAAACAGAGATGAATTATTTCCTCAACCTAAATTGCATAGTGTTGAGAGTTCCATTGCACAGTGTGGAGAATTTATAAAATAGAATCTGCTGATTGGAAAAGAGCAGAGAGAAGACCTCATCAGTGAGAAACTTTCCATTCACTATCCAATCATTGACCTTGAACGAGCTGCATTGCTCATACTGCAGCAAAGGAGAGTAAATAGTCATGACATGGTTTTCAAATTAGAAATTTGGTGAAACAAAATTACACATTTTCTGGCAGGTAGGACACTTCTGTATTTAGTTCTTCCCATAGACTTAAACTTTAAAATTCTGCTGTTTTTAATTTAGATGTAGGTTTTAATTAGGGCTTATGAACTTGTTGGTGGATAGGCTGATGTGGGTCCTGCTCAATGTTCAGCTTTAATTGTTTTATCCAGCTTGTATTTTGTATCAGTTCTTTATAACAAAGGAAAAAACTTCAGTCTGCCAAAAGATTCACCTTAAACAGCACCGAGAGCTGACATAGTTGGCCAAGAACGTCGAAACTCACTGATTTATAGGGCGCAAAGTGAACAACTTGAAAGACTTTTAGATAGTTTCTGGATAAAATGTAAACTGAATTACTTGGCTTTTCCTAAATTAAAAAGGTTAAATAATAGCAGCAGCATCGTAACAAGAAATATCCATTTGTTTTTAATGTCAAAAATGTGTTATTTATTTTAAAGGTTTGGTTCACCCAAAGGTGATATCTTTATACAAAGTTTGGTAGGCAGAGCCACATTTCTTTTTCTATCAAGGACTCCATTAGTGAGATTTCCCAGCCATAGTTTCTGTATATAGAACAGTCCCATTTTGGAGTTTAGGACCCTTGCACATGGGTCCGTCTAGGAGCAGTGCACCCCTTCTGTAATGCCTATGAAATGTGTTGGGCCTTGGACCCTTTGTTTCTTGGGTCATTTTTACAATAAAGCATCGTTGCCCAGATGCCAGGAGCATGAGAAGTGACTGATGTAATTTCTCTAGGCTAAAGGAACGGAGTCACAAGATATTAGACTGCTTATAGCTTATAAGAACCTGTTTTGTGGGATTAAACGTGTTTATGACATCTAGAAATGTTACATTAGAAGATAAGAACTTGTTTGTACAATTAAAGATGTCTACTTTCTTGAGAAGTTTGAAATCTTTAAGTTTTTAAGAAGAAATCTTTAAGTTTAGGGTAGATAAGAAGAAAATCTTTAAGTTTAGGGTAGATATGAAGCTGATTTGAAGCAAAAGTGTGATATTCTTAGATAACGCAGTATAGTGGCTGGGCGTGACTCTGTTTTCTTCAGGGAACTTTTCTGATAGCTCCTCCTAGAGTGGGTGTGGTGCCTGCCCACTTCGGAAAGCTGCCAGAAAAAGGGTTTAAAAGCAGGGGCCTCAAGCGTAATTGATTGGGAGCATTCCTATGCAGACGAGGACGCTCTGACGCTGGGACTCTTGCCAAGGCTATATGGGCTCATCGATTGGTTGCGTTTACGGCTTCCCCGTGACCCCCTGTGCATTATGGTTCAGATGGGGTCTGTTCCTTCCAGCCTTCACATAGCTTTGGTAATGTATTAATTCTATGCTGTGATGCTGTCAAATAATGTGTCTATTTCATGCTGTAATGCTCACATTACTATTGGTGTGTCTTATTATGCAGATTGTGATGACTATAAGATATATCCTCCTGTGTGTTGTCTGACAATAAAAGTTTAAATGTACCTGTGTGACTACCTGTCTATTGTGTGTATATGACTTGCTTCGGGTATTGTGTCCAGCGTTGCATTACACCTTCAGGTGTTTTAGTGCGCCCAGTAGGAATAGGTGCAGTGTCCAGCCCTGTTGCAGGCAGCCTGTCAAAGTCTATGGCAGGCTGCAACTGGACAGGGCAGAACGCTGTGCTGGACAAGGGCCCTAAATGTTTCCACCCCTTGTTATAGAATAAAAACTGAAATTCCAACATGAAGATTGGAACCCCTTCATAAACTTTGTGAAAACTGATGTATTGATTTTGGTTGCACCGACCCATTAAAGTACAAAGAAAAAAACAAGGTTGCCTAATATTGAGTTCCCATTCAAGAGGGTTAGTGAGAACTATTAATGTTTAACTCAAAGTAAAACAACTTTTACATTTTGAATAGAGTGGTGACGTTAAAAGTAGGTAAAATACCACAGTGAAGAGAAGCCGTTAAAGACGAAATACAGTAGGTACAGTAGATCAGGGCCACCAGCTAGGTTTGGAGGTTACACAGGGCTTTTTATTTACCAATACCAGTTGTTGAATGGAGTAGTAGGGGAGGTGAGTATGTGCTGCTGGGAATATGTGTAGTTAACTGACTCTGCGTTGGCAAAGGATATGGTAACTTTATAGAGAATTGACATTAAAGTGGTTGTAAACCTCAGACATGAAATATGAACAAAGCATATCCCTGTATAGTGTGAACTTGTCTCTATCCACAGTACTACATTTCATTTCTGTCCAGTGCCTTGTTCCTCTGCTATCAGCATGAATCACTTCTGTTGAATGTTCCTGACACCAAAAGAAAAATGGTGACAGGGGAGGGACCTCCAGCACATTGACAACCTCAGCTCTGTTCCTGTGTGCTGTGTGGAGTGGGGGTGTCTCTTGGCCCCAATCAGCTCTCAGAGTTCTGCTCACTGAGTGTAACCTCAGCTCTCCACCCCTTGCTTTTCAAAACTGAGAGTTCCTATGTAATTTGTTGTAGGGGAAAGATGGCTATAGATAAACAAGTACAACCTATGTAAGAGGATTTGTTTCATCTCTGTGTTTCACCGGAGGCTAGTCACTTTACTGGGTATATGTAAGGGTTTACAACCACTTTAAGATTTATGCTAACAGAACAGTCATACTGTTTCAGTAACAGCTTTGTAAATTGATGTGTGTACCTACCTGCTCCTTCCAGTTGTCTGGGAGAGGAAGGTGATCAGTTGGTCCTCCATTCTTCTCATTGTAGTACATGACCATGTTTAGATCAGGGAAGTTCCGATTCAAATCTACTTCATTGAAATTATTTCTTCCAGTCACGTATCCATTGAAATACGGCCCCTGTGGGGTAAATTCATATTTTCAGTACTGTATATGAGGTCAATAAACATTCTGAATAACAACATAAGACCAAAGAGAAGCCAAGAAACGTTTTGTGTTGTCTGTAGCAGCAGATCTCAAACTTTTCCCTAAGACTTCAAGTAATTAGATGACACTCAGGACTTTTATGTCACCACTGCAAATTAAAACCCAATTAGGTGTGATTAACCCACTATGCCCACTTTACATGAAATTGAAAAGTAAATATTTTTGGGAATAAAACGCCTTTCAAAACTTGATATCAGTAACAGATTTATTGATTGTGAAAACTCCAGACACATAAAGAGCACTTGTGATCACAAACCTGCCCACTATAACAGACAATGGGAGTGATTTACTAAAGGCAATTAGACTGTGCACTCTGCAAGTGAAGTTGCTCCAAAGCTTAGTAAATGAGGTAAAGCTTCCCATTGTCAAGAATACCCAATCACATGCAAGGAAAATTTAAAAAAACAGCATTTTTGCTTGCACAGGAATGGATGATGAAAGTCAGCGGAGCTTCTCCTCATTTACTAAGCTCTGGCGCAACTGCACTTACAGAGTGCAATTTCACTTTGCAAAGTACACAGTCTAATTGCTTTTAGTAAATCCAATGAACCACAATGAATTTCCAACAGGTGATTCAATGACTCGTAATGCTGAAGTCCAAGTCCAAGATTCAGTTCCTACCAGGCAGACCATGGCATGGGGGAGATCATCTACTTTCATCCTTTTTACCCTGGAGAAGTCCTTGAAACAATTTCTGATCTCAAAGAATCCATAAAAATGTTTTTTTTATCTGCAGCTCATGGAACATTGGTGTGATAATCAGTGAGTTGTAGATGTAACAACAAATATGTATAGATCTAAAAATAAATTAAATAAAGTAAATGTGTTACCCCTGTAGCACTTTCTAGGTACCAAGGATTTGTTTTTTTAGACAGAGGCTGAGTAAGAGCCTGGGACAGGATAGGAGGCTCTACAGGTCAGGGCTTCTGGAGCCGTTCCACCCTTCCAGATACTTAGAGAACTTTCTGAAAGAGGGGAAGAGGAGGGGAGGAGGCCCAGATCTGCATGTTTTAGGGATCTTGGCCAATCCCCAGACAGGAAGCTGGGCATGGTGACCAAGGACAACCCTTAAATGTGGCAGAGCCTGGGGAGCAGGTGTGAAGAGTCGGGTGGAAGATGGACTGAGAGGAAGCCTGGAGCATGGAGCCTGGGAGAGGGCACCAGGGAGGGGAGCCTACCTATAGACTGGTTGCTGGACAGGAGTATTTCCACTGTGACACCATCTCTTTGGGAGGACATCCTGTGCAGCAGGGTAGGAGCCAGCCCAGCGAAAGGCCTGAAAGCAGCTACCAACCCACCATGCTGACAGAACAGGCCAGTGTGAGTACTTCTGCACCCCTTGATACAGGTAAAGGGAGAGGGTGGTTAAGTGCAAGACCCATCTAGTTCTCATCCGGGACTACTTCATTGCTAGATCTCGGAATCCCTTGCCTCGGGATACCCACAGTGCAGCTGGGTGAAAAGGAAGAATTAATTTCGGGTCTAAAGAAGGGAGACCAAGGAGGCTTAGAGCTCTCTAAAGAGACAGTGCTATTTGCAATTTTTGGATCTACATCTTTTTGTACAGTGAACAGGTTGCTAAGAAGTTTGTCTTCAAGTTTTCAGTTCCTTGGACATCCCATATACCCCTTGACCCCTTCCAAGTTGTTAACCCCTAATAAAAACAACTAAAAACCAGCTCATGGACTGTTTACTGACCTGAATGTGCAAGTGTGGAAAATGTGTGTTCCCTGGCCCTGAAGAGGTTAAGGGGACACAAACAAATCCAACAGCCCTCAAGAGGGTAGTGCTACACCCCTTTGCATTTGTGCTCAGTGCAAACCTGACTCTACATTGGTGTTCAGTGCAAACCCGACTCTACATCGGTGTTCAGTGCAAACCTGACTCTACATCGGTGTTCAGTGCAAACCTGCAAACCACTCTACATCGGTGTTCAGTGCAAACCTGACTCTACATTGGTGTTCAGTGCAAACCTGACTCTACATTGGTTTTCAGTGCAAAACTGACTCTACATCGGTGTTCAGTGAAAACTGACTCTACATCGGTGTTCAGTGCAAACCTCACTCTACATCGGTGTTCAGTGCAAACCTGACTTTACATCGGTGTTCAGTGCAAACCTCACTCTACATCGGTGTTCAGTGCAAACCTCACTCTACATCGGTGTTCAGTGCAAACCTCACTCTACATCGGTGTTCAGTGCAAACCTGACTCTACATCGGTGTTCAGTGCAAACCTCATTCTACATCGGTGTTCAGTGCAAACCTCACTCTACATCGGTGCTCAGTGGAAACTTAACTCTACATCGGTGGTCAGTGAAAACCTCCTTCTACATCAGTGCTAGTGCAAACTTAATTCTACATCAGTGCTCAGTGCAAACCTCACTCTACATCAGTGCTCAGTGCAAACGTGCCTCTACATCAGTGCTCAGTGCAAACCTCACTCTACATCAGTGGTCCGTGCAAACGTGCCTCTACATCGGTGCTCAATGCAAACCTCATTCTACATCAGTGTTCAGTGCAAACCTCACTCTACATTGGTGCTCAATGCAAACCTCATTCTGCATCAGTGTTCTGCAAACCTCATTCTACATCAGTGTTCAGTGCAAACCTGACTCTACATCGGTGTTCGGTGCAAACCTGACTCTGGTGTTCATTGCAAAACTCACTCTACATCGGTGTTCAGTGCAAACCTCTACATTGCTGTTCATAGCAAACCTGATTCTACATTTGTGCTCAGTGCTAACCTTACTCTTCATTGTTGTTCAGTGCAAACCTCATTTTACATCGGTGTTCAGTGCAAACCTTTCTCTGTAAATGTGTTCAGTAATTATGCACATTATTTTCCCTAAAAAAAAAAAAAAACATTTTTCATATGTGCAATTACCAAAAGCAACAATTAAGCAGCAATTACTGAAAGGAGCCATCAAAGTTAAAGGCAGTTTCGTACAGACTTAGGGTAATATCTAGACTTCCCTTTGTTGTATAATATTTATCACCAAACCTAACACTAATGTAAGAGGTGATTTAGCTACAAATGTGGTAATGAAAAAAAAATTTAATGTAACTTTTCATGCCTTGGTAATTTCTGAAAAAAAAATCATATTCCCTGGTTTAAAAACAAAGGTATGATCCCTCACATTCCATCCAGATGAACTATGAAGCTTCATTCCACTGCTGTTTGCACTGCTTCTTCTCTTTGATATCAATCTGCCCAGCAGTACTCAGCAAGAATGTGGAAAGGTATTAAGCCACCATTGAGTAGATATAAATCACCATAAAGAGACCCCAGGTAAGACACCCTAGAGTACATAGATACAGTATGTGCTAGCTCACCACCACTTGTACACAGATATATTTGCATTCATACTTCAAAGCATGGTAACATACCCCGACCAATGCAGATAATAGAAAACAGGATGCCATTAAGAAGTGTCTAATATTAGAACCGTAAGATTGCTATATAAGGACACAATGTTGTTTTATTCATGGGGGGAGCATTCCCTATTTTCTTTTCTAGTGAAAAATGTACAAATCCTTTAACTCCACCACTTGGGTAAGTGAAGGCTGTAATAAACCTAATTACAATGAAAATATACGAGTTCACTTTCCATCTATGGAAAACAAAGGAAAGGCATTCCAGTTACCATGTCAATATTGTGTTCTGTGGGGAAGGGGAATTTGTACACAATGAGGAATAATATGTTCCTTATGTATCCTTAGGGTGATTTCTGGCACACGTGACACAGAAGAGCACATGGGAGGCCTCAGCTCCGCCGAGAGCACAACTTTATTTTCTGCTTTAATTAGTGTCCAAGAAACAACAGCTTCTCTCTGGAGCTACAATCTGAACGATGTAATGTCTGGTTGTTGTTCCCCTGATGGTCACTTGCCACCCCACTGGGCGATATTACAACTTGATGTCAACCACCATGTGCATTTATTGTGTGAACATTTCTGTCCACCAATACTGTGGAACTGCTTGACCTTACTGCCTAAAAGCAGTCATTCTCCCACAATTTAGATGAAACTGACCATACAAACCCTTTTGAATGCATGTTTAGCTGTCCTAGCCTTCACAGCGCAGGAGCTACCCAAACCAATCATTTTTCCTTGGAAACAAAAAAGGCAGAGAAGGCCACACAAGTGTCTTTAATGCTGTAGCAGTACATTGAGACGTTATAATGACCAAATAAACAGCACCAACTGGCAGGCCTCCAGTGTTTTCCAGAGTAATAGCAGTTACCATAAACCCGACTCTCTGGAGCCACCAGGCAACCATTGAGGAAGGAACTAGAAACCACCAGGCCACAACTAAAAACAATGAGATATACCCAGTACAGATCCATTTGACCACACATTGATGAAGATTTCCTTGTCATGTGCACTATAGCTGCAGTTCTATTGGTGGAATTCAAATGTATATGGTTGAAACATATTTTGTTTAGATACAAAATGTGCCTTCTGAATCAAAGAAAAGAGCTCAGTAGTACCTGGTCTGCAGCTACTTCATAGCCATCTGGGTTCATGGAAGGCATGATATGTATCCGTGTGTTCTCAATGAGCCGGACAATCCTCTCATTCCTGTTCCGATACTCTTCACAGAGAAACTCAGCCAGTTGGAGGAGAAGCTCTCTTCCCAGGATCTCGTTCCCATGCATGTTGGCTACATATTTAAACTCTGGTTCCACTATAGAAAGAACAGAACATTCATTGGTGTGAATTCATGACCTTTATACCATAAGATAGTAAGGACTTGCTCAAAAATAGAAATATGAAAGATAAGATGGCATTGCTGACTTGTTTGTAAAAGTGCACATTGTCCGCTAGTCTTCCACCTGCTGATGCACAGCCAGTGACATCACTCTCCCAAACTACTGACATTTTCAAGATCAGTGGCTCATTATAAAGTCACAAAAGGATGAAGATGATAGCCACAACTCACACTTTTTAAAAACAAGTCAGTAGGCACTTTCCATATATTCATCTACTGGAGGGTTATTGTAACATCCCATGTTATGTATGTTTTTGGGACCTTGGGGAGTGAGGGGGAAGAAAGACCATAGTCTTTGGAGATACATCATAGCCAAACATGAACATTTAGAGTGTAAACTCACATTGAAGGCATAGTATAACTGCTAAGTGGCCCCAATATTAAGCCTAATGCGTTACTCTATTTTGCTGGCTACTCATTTACTAGTTCACTCTGGTGGCCCTATCATTATTTCATGAATGTTCCTGGATCTGGACCTCCATAATTTCCAATTGACTGTTCACTGGTTCTGAGCTGCACCCATGGCTGGTACATCCACAAGGCAAACTAAGCAGCCACCTAGGGAGCACTGCCACCTAGAGGCACCTGGGCACAGCACAAGCCGGCACTCTCTCCATGTGGGACACCACTATGTCATGAATGATCTTCCAGCTGAGGGGGGGGGGGGGGCGGCAGAGGGGAGGAAGAAAGGACAGAGGGAGATGCCAGGTGTCTGGGGTCAGTGTAGCACCTGAGCTGCAGCGCCTTCCAGTGTTCCTCACAGACTCAGTCTCTTACTATAAGCCAGCTGGTGGCTGCTGATCACTGTGAAGTTCCAGCCCTTCTCTTCCCATTCATCAGCGGAGGCGGATCTGCACCTGCGGAGGAAGGTAATGTCTGACTCTGATGTCTCATGGCTGTGTGAGTGTGACCTGGCCACCCGGCTATTCATCACATGTACAATGTATCAGTGAGTGATGACATCATCATGATCCCACAGACTTCTCCTCTAGTGCCTGCTGATCGGGTCAGTGTTGGTGGTGGTGTGTTGTGTCGGATCTGTCACTGTGTGGGATCACTCAGTTCAGGTATTCTCTGTGTGTGTGTGGGCTGGGCTGCCACAGCGTTTTATCTCCCCCCATTGTCTGGGGAATTCCAGTCTGGGATCTGTCAGAGTGTGGATCCATCATCCTCCACTCACTGCAACTGTGCCATCCACAGATACAGTCCATCCATGACACTGATTTTGTCTTTAACGTTGGTGCTTGTGGCATCTTATGGCACCTATTTTTGCGAATTAAATGAAATTTAGCAGTTTCATGTTTTGTTGAATTAATATTTTCTGTTTTTTTATTTGACTTATTTATTGGGGGGGGGGGGGGGGGCAAATAGCTGGTCTTGCCTAGGGCGCAAAGTAGTCTAGCACTGCCTGGCTGCACCCCCTCCCCATCTCAGGACAGGTTTTATCTCAATAGGTCATTTGAGCTATGGGGGAAACACAGATAAGGAGTTTAGCTTCGGATAGTTAAAAAGGATAAGAACCTCTGATGTTTTTTTTATTGCTTTCTGGGACCCCTTTATAAAGATTTCTCCACTTTTTTCTTCTCGAGTGACCAAACAGAAGGAGAGGTGGAACACCCCATTGGGACACAGATAGCAATAATAACTGACAGACGTTCTCACTTGTCCCAGTGCTACTAATAACAAATGTTCATCGCTCTCTGCAGATACCAATAGTATCAAGGAATCTGTCCAATGGGTATAATTAAAAAAATAAAATAAATTAACCTGACAAAGGTTCTAACCCTTCTCTACTTTATCCCAGTTTTTAAAAAAATAACTGAAGTTGGACTTCAACATTGGCTTCATCTTATTGGTCCTTTAAGCTTTGCAGGCTGATAATGAGTTTATTGTAATGCAGCAACTGACCACTTCATCTCCGAAAAGTTTTACGCCCTTCATAACCAGGGCATTTTTTTTGCTATTCGGCACTGTGCTACTTTAACTGACAATTGCGCAATCATGCAACACTGTACGCAAATAATTTTATATAATTTTTTTTTCACACAAATAGAGCTTTTGTTTGGTGGTATTTGATCAACACTGGGTTTTTATTTTTTTTTATTATATAAACAAAAAAATGACCACAGATTTTGAAAAAAAAAAAAACCCACACTATTTTTTACTTTCTGCTATACAACATATCCGATAAAAATTTAATAGTTTTTGGCTATTGACATTTTTTTCTACAGCTAGTAAACCCCCCAGCATGTTATTCTATGTATCCATGCATACATAGACTGTAATCAACGTTTTTTGGCTGGGATGTTTTTTGGCTAGAAATAAACCCAGGACTAGTGAGTTTCCAGATGAGTTTTTTTAGCTGTAAAAACGCTCTAACGCTGAAAAATGCAGCAAAACGTGGTAAACCGCAGTTTTTGGACTTTTTGACCAAAACATTAGCTTTTTTGATCCTAGAAAAGCTAAAAAAACGCAAACGCAGAAAAACGCGGGAAAATGCCGCTAAACGCCAATGTAAAAATGCTAAAAAACTCTAATTTTGAATGTGACTTTACACAGCTAATATTACAGTGTGCATGAGGACTAACTGTGTGAGAGTTATAGCATCTACAAACCATGGTATGTATACTGGAACTTTTATTTATTTATTTAATTTTTTTATTTATTTCAGGTACTTATATAGCGCCATCAATTTTACGCAGCGCTTTACATATATATAAAATATATATATATATATATATATATATAGTACATTCACATCAGTCCCTGACCCTCAAGGGGTGTACAATCTAAGGTCCCTAACTCACATCCATACATACACATACTAGGGCCAATTTAGACAGGAGCCAATTCACCTATTAATACTATTAATGGCGGTGATCAGCAGCTTATAGTGGGACTGCGATAGTTGGTGGGCAATCAGACACTGGGGGGGGGGGGGGGGGGGAGACTGACTGACAATGACAAGAACAAAAAGTAAAAAATATTTTTTTTTTTTGTTTTTTTTTTTTTATAGCGCAAAAAATAAAAAAACACACAGGCGATCAAATACCAGCAAAAGAAAGCTCTATTTGTGGGAAAAAAGGACAAAATTCATTTGGGTGCAGCGTTGCATGACCGCGCATTTGTCAGTTAAAGTAACACAGTGCCGTAACGCAAAAAATGGCCTGGTCAGGAAGGGGGGGGGGGGGGGGTAAATCCTCTGGAGGGCAAGTGACCCTGTAACCTTTTTTTAATCATTTACATTTATAGGTAAAGTTGATCCAGGGAATATCCGATTGCCTCTCGGGAGATCAGGAAGGAATTTTTTCCCCTGCAGGAGCAAATTGGATCATGCTTTGCTGGGTATTTTGCCTTCCTCTGGGTCAACTGTGGGTGTAGGATTATAATTTTTTTTTACTTTTAATGGTTGAACTGGATGGACTTTTGTCTTTTTTCAGCCAGACTAACTACGTAACTATGTAATCAAATAATTTCTTAGGCCTCATTGAGGCTAGGGGTTGGAGGGAGGCAATGCACCCCCCCCTTAAGCTGCAATAGGCAACAGATGGGAATGTTTTCAAGCATCGCAACCACAGCAGTGTTGACTCCGCTTGGATCGTTTGGCGGGCTCACCGAACGCTACACATGCAAATCAATAGGGAAGCGATGTAAACACCCCACAACTGCAGGTAATGGATTGTCAGCAGAGATGGGGTTAAAACAGGTGGTGAGGAGGTGTCACATCACTTCCTTGCTGCCTGTCAGTATCCCCTGAAGGGTGATCCTAACACGGATTGGGCTTCAGAGGCAAGGGAGATTTAGATGCACATCTAAATCTACACTTACTGTGTATTTCTGCCTCCTTGTAATGTCATCTGTGAGCTCCTGAACCTCTCATTTTCTCCTCATTTCCATTTTTTTGGAACGAGCAGTGCATGTTAGTTAGTCATGTAGATTGTAAGCTCCAAGGATCAGGCCATCCTATCCCTCTTGTATTGAACTGTATTGTTGCTGTATTGTCTCCCATTATATTGTAAAGCGCTGAGCAAACTGCTGGCGCTCTATAAATCCTGTATGATGATAATAATGTAAACTGCACCACATACACTACATATCCCATAATTCATAGTCCATCTTGGGAGCAAGCATGAGAGGGTGGCTATGTTCAGGGGCGGACTGACCATTTGGAAACTATGGCACTGCCTGAGGGCCCAGGATAAGTAGGGGGCCCCATGAGATGCCCCTGGTACCTTTTTCATAGGCTTTTTTGAGTTTGGGCAGACACAGGGGCCCCATGATCCCCTATTGCCCGGGGGCCCCATGAGTTGTCAGTCCGCCCTGGCTATGTTCCTTCATAAAGGGGGACCATGGAGAACGAATGTAGCCACCCTCTAACACACAGGTGTCTAACTGGTGGCCCTCCAGCTGTTGCCAAACTACAAGTCCCATGAGGCACTGAGAGATTGACAGTTACAAGCATTATTGTTATTATTATACAGGATTTATATGGCGCCAACAGTTTGCTCAGCGCTTTACAATATAAAAGGGAGACAATACAGCAACAATACAGTTCAATACAAGAGGGATAGGAGGGCCTGATCCTGGGAGCTTACAATCTAAGAGGGAGGGGCTAGTGATACAAAAGGTAGTAACTGTGGGGGATGGACAGGTAGGAAGAGTAGAAGATTCCATGATTAGCTGAGGGCAGGATAGGCTTCCCTGAAGAGAGAGGTTTTCAGGAATTGCCTAAAAGTGAGCAGAGTAGGCGATAGTCTGATAAATTGGGGTAGAGAGTTCCAGAGGATGGGGGAAGCTCTGGAGAAGTCCTGGACACGAGCATGGAAGGGGGAGATGACTCCCAAAGGCAAAGGTATAATGGGACTTGTAGTTTTTTAAAGATCGCCTAAAAGTGATCAGAGTAGGCGATAGTCTGA